AGAGAAGTGAATATTCAAGAATATCGACCATGAATATTTAAGTTTTTCGTCCTTTTTGGAACTTTTTCAATGAATTTCAGACTTTTTTCATTCAATTTCGTCCCGGAACTTCGTAATCATCCTCGGCTGTCATGATAACATCTATGTTTTACTCATTCTATATTTCCAATGATTTTTAATTGTTTTCAAAACAGTAGCATTTTCATCGATCACAGTTTCATCTTGCTTTATGTTTCAAGAGCAATCTTAGCAATGTTTGTTGCTGATTTTTAGCAACAATTATTGCTTCCCTTTAATACTACCATGACGTGAAATTTCCTCTTTAGGGACTCATGATAATTCATTTCACAGTTGATTCCGCTCGGTTGATTCCACTGCTCGCATGAATTAGCAGAGAGAAAGATAAAAGCGAGCATTTCACGCTTAACGACAGTGCATTATCATTTTTATTTATTCATCGTCTCTACAATGCTATTTGAAAAAGAAAAAGGGGGTTTCAAACGTTGTTATGAAATGTTTGACTTGCACTCAGTGGATCCCGCTGGTTCCAGATTTTTCTGACTTGTTTTCAATTACAAGGTCGAGCACGCGACCTTGATCTATTGGGTGCTAGCAAAAAAAATATGGAACCCAGGACCATTCTATTTCTCTTTCGCTCTCTCTCTCTCTCTCTCTCTCTCTCTCTCGCAATACAATTGGAGGAAATGCATGCCCCCCCCCCCCCCGGAGCTGCGTCACTGACTTCATCTTTTTGTTTAAATTCAAGACAGTACGTCTTACAACTAAAAAAAGAAACTGGAAACAAGGTTGATAAATTAAATGCTTCTTATAGCTAATGTTCCCCAGATTTGGAAGTGGATGATTTCTTGAGGTTCATGATTTACGATATTGATGATGTAAATGAGAATGGAAATTGGTATAATTTATGTAGATAGATAGTTTAGATAGTTTATTGGTTTCCACAATATCTCATTTTACAAAGAGTGTAACAACATATTTAAAATGATTATTTTATACATGTACATACAATACCGGTACACACTATTCAGAATATTGTCCATTAAGTTTAACTTAAGAGATACAGTGGCGGAGCCTATGGAAAAGCAGAGCTTGTTGTGGATAGGCTCCTTAAACTAAACATGACATAATTAACTAAAGTAAAGTTTATAAAATACAAATACACTCTAAAACAGGGAAAGGGAGATTACAGGGATACATAAACCGATACTCACAGTTAACTACAAAAGACAAGGGAAAGGGAAGGGAATATATCTGCAGCTTATTGAAACAATATTACAATATAGTTTGTTCTACATATGAATATATTATAAACATAGTTTGTATGGTCATACCGTTTATAGGTACTCATTGTAATGAACATAATAAGTATACAGTTTGGAGACAAGAATAGTCAAGAATCAGGAATGACAATATGTATTCAAATAATAACTTTTCAATTTTCTTCTGAATACATGTACACTTACAGACCTTTTAATTACAGAATCGAGAGAATTCCAGAACTTAGGACCTGTATATATTAAGGTATTTTGAGCAAAGCTTGTTCTCGTTCTAGGAAGGTGGTAGGAAAACGCCTGTCGGGTAGAATATTCGTGGACTTGATTTCTTTTCTTAAACAAATAAGATAGTGCCTGGGGCAGTTCGTTGTTATTCAGCTGAAACATGAGGCAGCCTAATTGTAAATTAAAAATATCCCGAACTCTCAGTACTTTAGTATTAAAGAAAAGAGGGCTCGAGTGAGTACGAATAGGTACATTGCAAATTGTTCGTATTGCTCTTTTTTGAACAACCATGATTTTGTCCAGTTGAAGTTTCAATGAACTACCCCAGGCAAGAATACCGTAGTTCAAGTAGGGCAACATTAAAGTGGAGTACAACATTTGCAATACATATGTTGGGAACATAGGTTTCAGTTTGTATATAACACCAGCATTTCTTGATAGTAATGAACACAAATAATTTGTATGTATTTTCCATGACATTTTATCATCGATATACAAGCCAAGAAACTTGGTCGATTTTACTTTCTTAATTTTAACATTGTTAAAACAAATATCTCCAGGTAAATCGGAGATTGAATTGCTAAATAATATGAAATTAGTTTTGTCCAAATTCAGTGACAGTCTATTCGCAAAAATCCATTGTGCAATATTCTCAAGTTCCGAATTTACAGTTTCAACAAGAATTTGAGGATTCTGATGAGAATAAAATATGCTTGAGTCATCTGCGTATAGTATAAATGACAATAGTGTGGATGAAAATTTGAAGTCATTTATATATGTTATGAATAGTAGAGGCCCTAAAAGAGATCCCTGAGGAACACCGCACGTGGCAGGCTTGACACTCGATGCAATCCCATTTAATGAAACGAACTGTGTACGACTACTGAGGTAACTTTTGTACCACTCCAACGCCTTACCCCTGACACCATAATGCTGAAGTTTTTTAAACAAAATGTTATGATCAATCGTGTCAAATGCCTTGGAAAAATCCAAAAATAATCCTACAGTATGACAGCGGTCGTCAAGAGCAGACGCAATTTTATTAATAAAAAGTAGTATAGCATGAGAAGTAGAATGTTTCTTTCGAAATCCAAACTGAGAGTCGGCCAAAATTCCACAACGTGTGAAAAAATTAAATGTTCGAGTGTAGATCAGTTTTTCAAGAATCTTTGATAAAGTAGTGAGTAGAGAGATCGGTCTGTAATTACTACGTTCTAGAGGATCACCCTTTTTAAAAAATCGGTACAACTTTTGCTATCTTCATTTTTCCAGGTACTATGCCATTTAACATTGACATATTCATAATATGAGTTACAGGTACGATTACTTCTTTAATGAGACTTTTCAGTAACTTATTGGTAATATCATCATAACCTGGGGTCTTTTTAATCTTTAAATTTTTCACAATTTCAGTTAATTCTTGTTCATTGGTTGGTACCATAAATAGTGTAGTGGGGTTGGGATTATTCAAAAAGCAATCAAATGATTTTGCCGACGTTGGTATAGATCGAGCCAAATCTGGCCCAATATTGGTAAAAAAAGTCATTAAATATTTCGGCAATAGTTTGTTTGTTTTCAGTTGCTGTTCCATGGCTCTTAATTTTAGAGATATTTCGTGAATTTGGTGAACTATTAAGTACATTCTTTATGGTTCTCCATGTCCCTTTGATGTCTCTGTTACAGAAAGTAAACTGTTTACAATAATACTCTTTTTTAGCATTCCGAAGCAGGTTTGTCAAAGTATTTTTATAATTTGTGTACTTCATGCGATTTTTATTTGTGGGGATACATTTGTATTTGTAGAATAGCCTATTTTTCCTGTTAATTGATTTCAAAAGAGTAGAGTTAACCCAAAGCATTCGAGGAGTCTTTTTATAACTACAGAGTTTGCGATTCTGTATCGGGAAAGCTTCATTGTACAGTTGAATAAAGATATTCCAAAATTTCTCATAAGATATATTTACGTCTTCTTCATTTAAGACCATGGTCCAATCAACATTTCCAAGTTTAGCTTTAAAATTATTCACATTTCTTGGGGTAATTTTTCGCTGGTTCTTATTATGGTGTGGACCGGATTCTTGTTTCTGTGCCAATGAACAAAGTGCAAATATAGGATAGTGGTCTGAAATATCTGAGAGAATAATTCCTGCATCTGGAAAAGGCTGCATGTTGCAAAATATATTGTCAATGATGGTTTTAGAATTTTCTGCTGCCCTTGTAGGTTTTGTTATGAGCGGTAGTAATGAGAATGAAGCCATAGTGCTCACAAAATCCATTACAAATGCATTTGAGTCATATTTTAAAAGATCAGCATTAAAGTCGCCCATCAATAAGCACGACTTAGATGTGAAAATAGGATGAGACAAGATATTTTGAATTCCAAGAATAAATTCCTCAGTGTGAGATTGCGATGGTCTGTATACTATGCCAACAACAATATTCTTATCACCTGTAACACATATTTCAATAAATAGGGTTTCCAAGGAATCGGTCATAACAGTAAGATCATTTTTCACCTCATACTCAAAGTGTGTAGGAATATACAATGCTACACCGCCTCCTCTTTTCTTTTGTCTACTGTTGGTAATCATATTATAACCGGAAAGAGAATACATTGAATGAGGCGAACCAGAGAACCATGTCTCCGTGATACCAATAATAGCACGTTCACATTGAGCCTTGTCAAGAAAGATTTTCAGTTTCTCAAAGTTCTTGTTCATACTTCTTATATTCATGTGTAAAATGCAAAAATTATTAATGGACCTGCTTTGCGTTTTTGTTACGAACATGTTTTCAGTATAGTACTGTGAGCCAAGAGGGATGGAAAGATCGGAGTCATCATAAATCTCAAGATTAAAATTTTCTGAATTCTCATTTAATGTATTGGCAAAGAATTCCTCAGAGTCATGGTTTTGTGGATTGTCAGAAGTCTGACAATGCGTTTGAAAAACTGAGTATAAATCTTCATTACTGACTGAGGAAAAAGGAAAAATGTCTCTTAAATTATACATATGTATAACAGATAATATTTCGGCTATTGTGTTGCACAGAGAAAACAGTGTAATACAATATATCACATTGCTTATACAAGTATTTTGAAACTGGCAACGTACAGCAAGTATAGCGTTGAGCAAGGTTGCTAACACGAGATAAGTATATTCGAGTAAACAAAAACATAAGGTGAACACAGCTGCAGATAAACATAAAAAAAATTAAAAACGAAAATTCATGTATGTACATGAAAAGAACATAAACACACAGATAACACGTACTTATATACACTGAAATAACAAGCAATATACGAACAATATTCTGCACCTCTCACAATAAATAACGTCGGTAAATAAAAGAAAAGGAAAGGAAAAAAATATATATCGAAAAAGTATAGAGCATGCTGCTTGGAGAAAAAGAAAAGTGGGTCCATCACAAAGTATGAACAGAGATAGGAATGTCACACATGTAAACTGGATAGCATCATGTTTATTTGTTGAAGAATGGTTGACCACCAGCGCCTCGCCATTTCCCTGCGTAAAACCGCAACTTCGTTCCTTCACGGAAAAGCTTCGCCACATCATCAGCGTACTTGCGTTTCTCTTCGAGGTCAGGCTTCGATAAGTCGTCGATGATGTAATAGTTTACTTCTCCGAGCACTCTCCTTGCCTCCTTCATGATATTTATTTTTTGCCCATGTGTATTGATCTTGACAAGAATATGTCGTGGCCTCTCACCTCTTCTCCCCACACGATGAGCTTGATCAACATGGGCGTCTTCCATTTTGAATTTCTCTTTCAAAATTCCTTGTACAATATTTATACATTTTTTTTGATTATCCTCCCCATCTTTTTCTTCCATTACCACGATACGGAAATTGTTCCGACGAGAGATACGTTCAGATTTCTTAATCTCTTCCTGTTGATCCTCGGCATGGCGTTTAAGCTCGAACATTTCTTTCTCCATTTTCTTCATTCTATTCTCAAGATCAGAATTTTTACGTTCTAGGTCAGATATCCTTTTGCTCTCATACTCAACTGCTTTATTGAGTTCAGCTTCTAGTCTTTTAATCTGAGAGATGAGTGTACTCACCGCATCCTTCACCATCGCTTGTATTGTAGCGGAAATAGAACTGCTATCATCATCGCTCTCATGCGGCTTGCAACGAACACTCACGTTCACGTATCACGTGATCACGTATCAAGTTTGCGCTGTTTCGTAAAATAGGTGACTCTAATTTACGAAGTGTAGGGTCTACCATTCGTTGTTTTCCACGCCGGTAAAACACGAATGATCACGTCTTCCAAAACGTGACGTGAGTGTTTAATCAATATTTTTATAATTGCAAGCGCTTGTTACTAAGACTAGTCATGACGTCACCGTAATATGTATGATTTGTGTGTACGATATATACGTATCGCCTGCGCCTAGCTAGCTAGCTGACAACAACGCGTCGCGACGATATCGACAAAGTCGGAGAATGGGTGAGTAATTGGTTGCAATATGAGTAGATTTAGTGAATTTAGTGATTAATTTTGAAAAAATTTGTAATAGTTTTCGTGATCTTCGGTAATTTCTTTTCATTTTGAGACTGTTCTCAACAGATATTTGGGGAAAAGGCTAGGGAAATATTTCTCTTCAAATTGCACTTTGATTTTCATCGTCGTGAAGTAGTTTGACTGCGGTTTGCCGTCATGTCACCCAGTTAGGGCCCGGGGGCGAATTTTTTTTCCGTACTCGAGAGAGCAAAAATCCCATGTGCGCATGCGCGTGGACTTATGATTTCTCTGCTACTTCCCATACGAAATGTGTATGTATTCGCATGTACTGTGCACGATTCGCGTTCTACGAGTAAACGATGGCATAGTAGTCTTCAAACACAGACTCTGATTTGCCAGTTTGACAAATCAATATGCGTATGTGTCGCGATGTGCTTATTCAAGTCTGTGTAGTTGTATGATTCAGACCCAGTAGTGCATATGGAAATACATTGCAACTTGTATAGAATGGTATAGTAGTCTGCAAGCACAGATGCTAATCTGACAGTTTGACAACATACTAGTAGTGTGCTGAGAAGTACTTTATTCAAGTCGCCAACTTGTATAGAATGGTATAGTAGTCTGCAAGCACAGACGCTAATCTGACAGTTTGACAACATACTAGTAGTGTGCTGAGAAGTACTTTATTCAAGTCTGCGTAGATGTATGATTCAGACCCTACTGGTGCGTGCGTTAGAAATGCATCTCAATGTGTAGAGTGTAGTATAGTAGTCTGCAAGGACATCAGAGCCAGAAGGGCATTCGTTGTGTTAAGAGTTAACATCCTTCTGGCTCTCAGCAGACCATGATTATAAATAAAAGTAATACAGAGAGTGCGAGCATACTGGAGGGAGAGCTAGAGAGAGAGAAAGAGAGAGAGATAGAGAGAGAGAGAGAGAGAGAGTGAGAGAGCAGTGGCACAACACAGAAAACTACGAAAACTTGAATAAAAGCACTACTCAATACACAATAGGCCTATATTATTCTGTCAAACTGTCAAAGGAGAGTCTGTGCTTGCATACTACTATGCCACTCTATAAGTTGAGGTGCATTTCCAATACACGCACCAGTAGGGTCTGAATCATAAAACTACTCAGACTTGAATAACACTATTTTGTCAAACTGTCAGATTAGCGTCTGTGCTTGCAGACTACTATGCCACTCTGCAAGTTGAGATGCCTTTCCAATACACGCACCAGTAGGGTCTGAATCATAAAACTACACATATTTGAATATAAAGCACTACTCAAGACACTATGTTGTCAAACTGTCCGATTAGCGTCTGTGCTTGCAGACTACTATACCATGCTATTCAATTTGGGATGCATTTCTGTAAGCATTAAAATGTCTGAATCATACAACTACTCAGACTTGAATACTAGTACTATTGCTACGCACGATATATGCGTAATTGTTTTGTCAAACTGGCAAATCAGAGTCTGTGTTTGAAGACTACTATGCCATCGTTTACTCGTAGAACGCGAATCGTGCACAGTACATGCGAATACATGTACATTTCGTATGGGAAGTAGCAGAGAAATCACAAGTCCACGCGCATGCGCACATGGGGTATTTGCCCTCTCGAGTACGGAAAAAAAATTCGCGGCCCGGGGTTCCGGCCCACACCGTGGAATTGCGGTGCTCATCTGCAAATTTGATCGTCATCATGAATCTAATTCATCAATCATTGATTGAATTTAAATCTAGATTTAACGTACACCTTGAAATAATCTATGAAGTATGATTTCTTTAATAATCCAAGTTGGTTAATTCTTGTTAAAATCTTTAGTAGACCCTTCTTCTAGACGTGGACTCTGTCGAGGTACTCACTACCCCCCCCCCCCCCCCCCACTGAGCAAAATATTGGCCGGCACGATTTTCAAATTTCAGCACACTAAATTTCAAATTTGCAATTATACACGCAATGGCCCAACGTACAAATTTACTCTTACTCATGTATTATACATTTGTTTCTATATTTTGTATATTGTTTGCATACCTTATGTTTTATATAATTATCCATATTTGTTGTAGACTAGATCTAGACCTATAACTGATTTGTTTGATTGCAGAAAATGAAGTCTTTGAAATGAAATGAAATGAAAAATTGGTGGTGTCAACTTCAGACCAAAATTATCTGTGACCATGGATAATCAAACAACTCCAAACCCTATTTTATTTAGGCCTAGATCTAGATGTAAACCTGGAACTTATTAATAAAAATATTCAAAAAACAACAACTAGGATTTGTTTATTTAATGTTTAGATTTTGTGTGGGTCCAGCATGCTTGTCTAGTTGTCATAACTCATATTCATAAGGAGTCTACATTAAAGATTTGTTTCCAAATTGTGCAGTTCATGTTGATAAATATATTTTTGTTGGACATTGTATAAGAAATGACCCCTAGTCCACAATTATGTTTACTTATCTGTAGTCCACCTCTTCTTGTTATAATAAACTAATTCTACTTAGTACTTCTTCGTGCTCATAGGCCATAGAAAGCACTGTGTGAGGTACAAGTTAAATATTCCATTAGTTTTACTTTGTACTGTGGTTCATTAAATAGGAATGTTGATTTCCACACCATGTTAAATATAAGGCCAACCATGACATAAAAAATAGCTATTATGCTTGATCTATTTTATTGTTAAGGAGAAAGGGATGCCTTGATTATTGTATTGGTTTTTTCCTTCTTTTTGTTCCAACAGATTGAAACTAAAGAGCTGAAAGAAGGTAACAACATGAAGCAGAAAGTCCCATGCAGGTAAAATTACCAGGTTATTTAGCACACAAATATTAAACGATCACCTACATGTATTAATTCACTAAAAAAATAAATGGAACTAAGTTGACGTTGCAATTATAGCGCTTAGAGACTTCGGTGGTGAGCGCTTTATAAGTAACATTTTTATTATTATTATTATTATTAGCGTATATAGTGGAGGGTATATTTTATTCTAGTTCTGCACCTAGCATACAATTTCAATTTCAATTTCAAATTTATTCACATTTTCAACAAAACATTACAATTAATTATAAGCATTTAAAACAAATTTAAGAAATACATGTTGGAAACAGAGGGGTCCACTAAAAAGCAATGCTTGTACAAGTGTAAACACCTCAAATGAAACTTAGGAATAATGAGTAATTAAATTTACTAATCTGTAATGACAAAAGGAACTACAAAATAGGGGAAAGAAAAATGGGGATGCCAACAGAGACGAGAAAGGGACAAGACAATACTTTACACGACAAAGATAGAAGAACATGGTCATAATTATACAAAGAGTAGACAATGACAAAAAGAAGTGAGAGATCGAGGGTACAGAAAAAAAATACTAAATGATGAGCTGCATGTGGGGTTGAGAAGAAGATAAGGAAAGAGAAATATTGATGTCTTTAATTTTTTTGGTTTACAAAGGAAAATGTGTCCTTATTTAAAGGAGGTCCTGTGTGCCCGCCCCCCCCCCCCAACTCAGTGTTATTTATTTGGGGTATGCGTATGCGTGTTCCCTCCTTTTGAAAACACCCCCCTAAGTCTGGTGTGTAAAGTCAATACGGGCCGGATTTGTGTGTACTATGAGCCAGACTTCGTGAAAACTACCCCTTTACTGGACATTTTGGGAATACGCATGCGGTCCTGCCGACCCCTGAGTTGGGGGGGGGGGGGCGGGCCTGTGTGTAGAAGAGCCATATCTAATCCACATCCAAAGCACTACATGTAGGGTAAACACAGGACCCCTCATTACTTTTTTGTAAGGGCTCCTTTCACTTCTTGAGCAATGAAGATGAAGAAGAACACAAAATAAGATGAAAGTCTGTTTATAGGATGTATTATGGTTGATATGTATCCATTAGTATCAGTTTTAAATTGAAGTACCTACTTTGTTTTCTGTCATGTAGGATGATGCTTCTCTACAGTGGGTGATGAAGGCATGCTGGTTTACAAACTCAGGAGAGGAACAAAGAAGAGATATTGACGGGATCATATCTAGAGATGCGGGCCTACTACACTTCATACGAGCAAGTGTGCTAATATACATGTAGGTACCCCAATAAACTTTTGTGGAACACATGTCATGCAGAAAATTATAGATCTGACGAAGATATTTTTCATTGTCAGTTGACTTGTAAAAGAATAATTGACTGAATATCACAATTGTGATTTAGATTAAAAATTAAATGTCAATATAGATGAAATATAAGTCTACGTTACGTGTGTTTCAGTAGCATTATTTCCAGTATATTCTCTGGTCCAAGTTGTTTGGTCATTTTATGTCCCATACTTAAAGGTAATACACAGTTTTAGTATGGGTCATAAATTTGGTTCAAATGAACATATTGGACGCATATGAGATCCTACAATATTCAGTGATCGTTGTCGCGGTTGTAATCGAGTCTAAAATTATGAAATTGTAAATAATAAACTCTTTATGTTGTATAGCTTCCTCTCAAGGTCAAGATATAAATTTTTCTTGACTAAAATCGACCAATTTGCTATTCTCGTTTGGAAGATATATATCACATCTACATATTCTGAGATTTTCATGGTCGCAGCTACCATTTGA